ATCCGCGAATTGGAAACGTTTTGAAAACCGAATTATAGCTATTCTCCAAAAATGAGATTGGAAGAAGACGTAATATTGAACTGAATGAGCAAAAGTATGAATATTTTTATGCATGTGTTCTATGAAATATAATAGAATGTTTAAGGGCTTCTAAAATCGATGAGAAAATGCATGCTACTCAAGCCGTCCTTTCTTACACAGTATAGAATTTTCATGCAAGAGAAAAGGAGTTCTTTCGAAAGCAGGCAACCTTAGGTGATTTAATTATCATAGAATTATGTTGCATATTGAGTGGTTTTACAACACTACTTAATTAAACCGCATTCCAGAATTTCAGTTGATATTTCATGAGTTAGCACATCTACTGTAATTTTGCGTGGTCAGATGTTGGTTAACGGTTGTTAGGGTGTGGGAACAAGTCAATGATCGTATACGTAGTCCCTCGCATTGAGAGTCTAGATGGACGTGCCGGTTGCTGCTGGTTGTGCCAGAATGTCATGCTTCGAGGAATTCTCGAGCCTAACTGGTGTTACCCATTGCCATCACTTCAGCACCGCTGCAATTGAAACGTTGGTCATACTAAAGGGCGTGAGCAAACACGAGAGACAAGGGGGGGAGTCGCGACTGAGGAGGGATAACTTCTGCTCGCTAGTGCGAGTCGGCCTGTATGGCCAATATATACACAAGTGTACTGGGCGCACGGTATGCAGTAGATGGACTCAGTTATTTCTGATTGGTGGAGTGGATTGAGTATAGTTAGACATGGCGCAATGACGAGAATGTGCTCACCGGGAAATTTTCCTGGAGGTGGAGTTGTCGTGATGGTCGAAAGGATTTCGCCAGAATGGCCTACGGGGAATGCAAAAGACGAGGAGAGGAAGTAAGACAAGTAGTGCAGCAAGTGTGTCAAATGGTAAGGACGCCATCGTAGAGGTCAGCATGAGATAACACAGGAAATAAAATTGCGAAAATCGAATGAATTCATGTAGCGCAATAAATAGCAACGGCCTAGGGTCATAAGAGGCTTAAAAAGAGTGCGTTAAAACAAATCCAAAAGGGGCATTTGAAAACAACTACGAAGTCCTGCCTGTTTGCAGATCATAGCGAATAGCGAGAGAGGAATGGCGTAGGAAAATACGCTTACTAGGCGAAGATGGCTTTGGGGTCCACGAAGATTCGCCTTTAACCTCGGTTACGCTTTCTGCAAACAGAATGCAGGGAGACGATCATGGGGATTGCTGTCTGCCTCCCAACGTGCTGTGCTACACACAAATCTCACAGACCCTAATGTCATTGCCGTCCACACCTCCATTCTCATAATAATAATACTAATGATATATTAATATAATATATATATATATATTATATTGGATGTGACTTATATCGCCAGATCGCTAAGCCCATATGGATGTGTTCTCTTGAATATTCTTAAATGTTCTGCAATTTGCATTGCCTCTGCTTTTTGCCCTTTCCTCGGTCTACAGTCTTTAATACTTTTATGTATTTTATCTTATTTTCTCACAGAGATTCAGCAATTTGCATCGTTTCTTCTTCTTGCTTATTTGTCCTCCGTCTACTTTCTTCCTTCAGTTTTTCCCTAGCTTATGCCATTTTTCCATTCCTTGTTATGTCATGTTTTTGCCGTTGTTTCCTTTTACCTCCTATTTTTAATAATTATCTTCGTTGTCTTTGCTTACTTTTCATTGGTTCTGTTCCTGCTGGAGGTGTTTCGGTATGCGGCGGCAAAGTAGCTGTAACATAGAAATGGAAATATTTGTTATATTTCTCTGCTTCCCGGTTTTAATATGCTAAATGCTCGTTAGCTTTGCACTTTTTTTCATATTATACTGCTTCACATATTGTATTTGTTTTATATTGCAATGTGTGCATCCATGCGCATTAATCCCTGCAAAATTTTATGCTCATTTACTTTTATTTTTTCTGTTTTCATTCTGTTTGACTCATTCTTCCCCTTTTCTGTTATGCGTTTTTCCGTCTTCGCGGTCTTTAAAAAGTTCATTTCGTAATATTCTGAAGTAAATAGATTTACTGAAGTCGTTTGTGTCAATCCTGGCATTAACTAAAAATATCCGCATGGAACCCATCTTTTCGGCCTGCCTAACTTATTTTTGTACTTAATTGACATTTTTTCCATGTGTCCCAGTATGCTCCGATTGGTACTTTTCATTTGCCGTTTGTTCTGCTATTGCAAACCACATTACTATATTTTTACGTTCCCCTTTCTGAACTTTTCCGATTTTAATCACCAATTGGACCACTATATTTTTCTGCTAAATGCGCTATTGCGTGTCGACTTTCATGCCAACACAATTTGGTTGCGCCATGATTGCTTTGAGGTTTGGAGTTTGCAGGTTGCACAGATGTGGCTTGCTTACTTTGAGCTGTATTTCTCAGTCATCTGTTTATTCAACCATTTTCTACGGCTCCTGATTTTAACATTTGCAATTACAGTGGAGCGATTAAACGGTCGTCTGTGCGTGATAAGATAAACCATTCTGCTTTTATGCAACCAGTTTCTGTGAGCGAACACTGCATTTTGAAGGCATCAGATTACTTTATATACCGGTTAGTGTAGTATCCAGCGTGGAACATTAAAAATGTGCAGGCATGTTTTTTTAATCGGGACACTTACTTCTGTGTTCTTAATTTAATGACGGGTCTTAATCTTATGACCTCCAGTGAGGTGAGGTTTAATGGAGCACTTACATGTGTGAATTCGTCTTACTCAAGCGAGAGGACTGACGAAAGGCAGTGTGTTAAGGTCCATGGTCAATTGTTCATACGACAGGCACACTCTGACTGACAATAGATTTCGAATTTTCGTACGAAAATATGTCAAACATGTGTTTAGGTTTGTTCATGAAAAAGCAGCGGTGGATGATGAGCAGGTACTTACCGTGGGTGATTATTCGCAACCGGCAGTCAATAGAGCATAATGTAATACTATGAGCCTTAAAAATTGAAGCTTGTTTGCCCACTAATCATCCTATGTAGAACCACTTATTTTAACCGGCAGGTTTGACTTCATTTGACAGTATTACTCATTTAAAAAAGAAGAGAATAAAAAGCGGAGGTTATGGAGGAAATTCCTCTCGGATAGGAGCTATGTGTCGTTAAATGCATACAAAGCACAGAGGAACCTAGTTAGGAAGCTAATCCTCGCGACGCGGCGTACTTTTGAGAAAGACCTACTAAATCGAGCCGCAGAAAGTCAGAAGTTGTTCTATGGTTACATAAGAAGAAGCACACGAAACAGAGACCCAATTCCGTTATTGAAAACTGGTGACGACCTAGAACTCAGTGAAGACGGATAAAAGGCAGAGCACCTTTCACAGTTCTTTAAGTCCATCTTTACGAAGGAAAGCGCATTTCTTCCTCCCGACTGCGACATAGTGGACGGGCCAACGATTGAGCACGCCTCTTTCGCCGAAGCTATTGTTCGCAAAGAACTGTTGAAGTTGAATGAGTCTAAATCACCTGGGCCGGATGACATACCGCCCAAATTGTTGAAGGAACTTGCTGGAGAACTATCCAAACCGCTGTCCATGCTCTTCCAAGCTTCGTTCGAAGCAGGCTATTTGCCCTCCGATTGGAAATCAGCGCGGATCACGCCAATTCATAAAGGCGGCAGCAAGGGCTTAGCAACCAATTACAGACCAATCAGCCTTACTTTAATTTGCTGCAAAATTATGGAGAAAATAATAAAGCGAGAAATAATGCACTTCCTAGGAGAGCATAATCTGCTATGCGATGCCCAGCACGGTTTTCGTAAAGGCAGATCATGCGTGACGAATCTACTATATTGTTTAGATCGCTGGACCCGGGCAGTCGATGGCAGCAATGCAGTGCACGCAGTCTACGTCGACTTTAAGAAAGCATTCGACAGTGTACCCCATCAGCGTCTCCTGTACAAATTAAACCGAACAGGCCTGAGGGGTAATCTCCTGAGGTGGATACAAAGTTTCTTGTTCGGTCGCTCTCAAATCGTCCACGTCGGTGACAGGCAGTCGGCGGAGGTAGCGGTTGAAAGCGGTGTTCCACAAGGCTCCGTTCTTGGCCCTACCCTATTCATTATATACGTCAACAACTGCGTCAGCGAACTGAATTGTGATGTCGCCATGTTCGCTGATGATGTTAAAATTTGGAGCGTCATCCGAACTGAATTTGACGAAGAGCGCTTGCAGGCAGACCTGACCCGACTCGAGAAATGGTCACAGGACTGGCTGTTGCCGTTTAATGTGACTAAGTGTAATGTCCTGCGAGTCGGCAGGACCCGATCTCTGAACCGGAGGGTTTACCACCTAAACGGCGTACCATTGCAGGAGGTAGACGCCCAGAAAGACTTGGGGGTGTGGGTAACGGCTTCTCTAAAACCGTCGCTTCACTGCTCCAAGGTAGCCAAGTCTGCGATGTCAGTCCTTTATCTTGTCAAGAGAGCTTTCTCTACCTTCGATAAGGACTGCTTCGTTAAAGTCTTTCGGACTTTCGTACGGCCACAGCTAGAGTTCGCTATTCAGGCGTGGAAACCGTGGACCTCTAAAGATCTCAGCATCCTTGAGAAAGTTCAGAGGCGGGCAACCAAACTCGTAAGTGGACAGGGTTCACTACCCTATGAAACCCGATTGTCCAATCTCGGCCTCTTTCCACTGAGTTACAGACAGCTAAGAGGCGACCTTATACAAACATTCCGTATACTGCGCGGCCAGGACTGCTGTCTCGTACCTACTGATTTCTTTGAGTTAGCGACCACAACGAACCTCCGAGGTCATCCACTTAAACTACGCGTAACTGGCGCCAAGCTGGACATTCAGTTTATTTGATAAGGATGATAGGCAAAGCCTTTGAAAACCCTATTGATAACATGTCAACTCGTTAGAAATAACTGTACAGTAACAATGAAAATGTTCGCTATATACATAGTACTTGATTCATTTGAGTAGCATTGTCACAGAGAAAAAATATTTGGGGAACCGGGGTGTTTAGCTCAGATTCAGACTGTCGAGGGAAAACAGGGGACAGAAATAATCATCCAAGCGTTTCTTGAAGAGTTGCAGGGATGTCGCCTCCACGACTGACTGAGGGAGATCGTTCCATTTCTCCACTACCCTTTGCGTGAAAAATTCAGAACGGAGGTTCAGCCTGGACATTGTTGTCCGTAGCTTCATCGAGTGGCCACGAAGATTGGGTGAAAGGTGCCACTGAAACATGTCCTCAAAGTTAAGTCCATGCTCAAGGCCATTTATTATCTTGTAAACCAGGATTAGATCACCTCTTTGCTGCCTGTAAAACAGAGGGAATAGATTAAGGCAATTCAGTCTGTCCGTGAAGGATTGGCTTTTTAGACCGTTTACCATCTTTGTTGCCCTACGTTGCACCCGTTCGAGGCATGCTTTGTCCTTTACAAGCCATGGCCGCCATGCTTGTATGCCATATTCTAAGTGGGGCCAAGCGATGGTGCCGTAAACTCTCCCAAAAAGGTCTTGGTCAAAGGTAACGAACGCCCTTTTGATTGCATGCAGCACTCCCATTGCGTTTTTTGCAGCCTTGTGGCACTGCAATGTTGGTTTCAAATTGTTCTGTATCCAAACCCCGAGATCCTTCTTTGAAGATACTGCGGGGAGTCTTATATCTTTCAGATGATATGTCCTCAGGCTCTGATTTGAATGAGAGTTAGTTGGACGCAGATGGAGGACGGCACACTTCTGCACATTGAAGTCTAGAAGCCATTTCTCCGACCACGCTTGCAGTCGAAGAAGATTGTTTTGGAGGGATCTCTGGTCGTTAGGACTCTTAATGACTTGCCAGAGCTTAACGTCGTCAGCAAACATTATTTTGCCACAGTCGAGTTCCTGAAGGCTGTCATTAACATAAAGGAGGAATAGCAATGGTCCCAGAACTGAGCCTTGAGGCACACCACTGGCCACGCTCACCCATTCTGACATATCATCACCGATGCAAACACTTTGTTTCCGACCAACCAGAAACGCCCCCATCCAGTTCAGAAGATCTCCCTGGATGCCGATGGCGCTCAATTTGTGAAGAAGGCGTTGGTGCGGGACAGTATCGAAGGCTTTGCGAAAATCGATGTACACGACATCAACTTCAAAACCCTCTTCTAGGGCCCTGGTCCAGATCTCCAGACAAGCTAGCAGATTTGAGAGGCAAGAACGTCCTCTCCGGAAGCCATGCTGGAAATCCTGCAAGAGGTTATTTTCTTCACAAAATTGCTGTATGGCACTCTTTACTAGAGCTTCCATCGTTTTGCACGAGAGGCAGGTTAGGCTAATAGGCCTGAAACAGCTTGCTGCCATCCTGCTACCGCCTTTATGTAAGGGAACGAGGTTAGCTGTCTTCCACTGTGATGGCAGCCTTCCTGTTCTCATTGACAGCTCAAAGAGCGTCGAAAGAGGCTTCGCCAGCTCCTTTGATAGCTCCTTAAGTATCAGACCAGGAATTCCGTCGGGTCCAGGAGACTTGTCTGGTTTTATTTGACTGAGGACGCGTCTAACTTCACCGACGGAAAAGGTAACGGCTTCAATGACGGCAGTATCTTGGCGCATTTGAAAATCCCGGCTGTTTCTGTCCATTTCAAACTGCTGATCTTCTTCTGAGGACTCCTCCGTAAAAACCGATTGAAAAAACTCAGACAGTAACTGCACTTTCTGGGGCCCTTCGACTAGCAAGTTTCCGAGGCTATCCTTAAGACACGCAATTTCGTCCCTATGTTTTCTCCTACTACGGATGTATTTGTAAAACTTCTTGGGACATGTAATGGATTCTGCTACCAGTCGGCGCTCGAAAGAAGTTCTGGCAATCCGTATTTGTTTGCGGCATTTATTGCGCTGATCCTTATATTCGGCGAGTGATACTGGATCTCGAAGTTGCATATAATTTTTCCACAGCCTCTGTTTCTTCTTCATGACCGTTTTTGTCGTCGAATTGACCCACGGCGATCGCCCACATGGTCTTGTTATTTTTATGGGACAATGGGAGTCAATTAGACTCTCTATAATCCCGCGAAAGTACTGCCAGAATTCTTCAGAATCTTCGTTGTTGACTAACCAGGTTTCTTCCAAAAGAGCACGTCTCATTGCGTTAAAATCACCCTTCCAAATATTTCTGCGACTCTTGATTTATGGTTGTTGGTTCGATAGGAGAGGGCACATGCATGTAAAAGCAATATGATCGCTTAAACCGAGGGGAGGTTGGGGATTCACTTCTCTTATGACTCCTTCTTCTTTACTAAAAACGAGATCTAAACAGTTAGATCGTTGTCCGTCTCTTCGTCTTGTTCCAAATTTTATGTGTTGAATGAGGTATTCATTCAAGGAGAGTTGTAGTAGCTTGTGGTCAAATGACGTGAACGGGGCGTTTGCTAAGGGAACTTTCCAGTCTATTCCGGGAACGTTAAAGTCACCCAGAAGTAATAAGTTCTCCTGCTTACATAACGACTCCAGTACACTAAGCAATTCCACATCGGCGATTTTATTCGAGCTGGGAGGCCGATAGACAACACACAGGTTAAGTGTCGGTAATCGTTTGATGCATATCTTGCATGAAATTATTTCAAAAGTTCTCGGCGCGTCATCGGTTATTTCTCGCTGACAGCAAGGAATTTCATTTGACACATAAATCGCTGTGCCTCCTCCTCTTCGTTGAAATCTGTCACAACGGAACAGTTGGTAGCCTTCAATACTGACTTCGGAAGTTCTTCTTTTCAAACAGAGTGATCGAGGCCTGGAATGCTCTGCCTGCAGGTGTCGTCATGTCCACCTCCGTCGAGGCATTTAAGCGCAACTTGGACCAGATTGCCACCAATCGTCATAATGCCACCTGACAGATTGTCTAGCATTTCGTTCGAACAGTTTATTACTGTTGTTATATTACTCCCTGTATATAAGTAACGTTTGTTTTTTTAATATTGTCCCACATATGCTGAATGTGTGTTGGCATTCAATTCGTCTCCCTCCGAAACTGAGATAGCACCAACTATCACTAGACAGACTACTGTACAGCACATTTAGTAACGTTAATGTTTTTAACTCTTGGAACAATTCGTTTATCTGTCTGGCTTACAAAACGTTGCCAATCTGAAGAAACTCTGTAGCCGTTTGATGTTTCCATTTTCAAATTTTTTTATTGTTCGCCTCCTTGTAACAAATAGGGAGTTCGAAGGTTTAACACCTATATTTCCCTCAAATAAACTGAACTGAACTGAACTGAACCACGATATGCCCATTCAACAAACAAGTAGTAATACGAGTAGTATGAATTCCATATGGTAAAGGTATTATACCGTACTCCCGACCTAGATACTTGCTAAAAGCCCAGACACGGGTTTCGCCAAAATTCTGCCGCTGCATGACACAGCTGCGAGGGGTTCGGCTCTTCAGTGGGACCCCCAGCGTTCTCTAGCGCTTTCCGGTATATGAACTCCAGAGAATAATCAGGTGAATAATTTCAGAAATTAATCAATGCAGAACTTGGAGTTAAATCTCCGCGACATGACTTTTTAGGGTCAGAACCGAAATTTCAATGAATATTTGAGTCGAAGACCATCAACTACTGTGAAATAACCACGTAATGCCCATTCTGCAAACAAGTAGTACTACGAGTAGTATGAATTCCATATGGTAATGGCATTATACCATACTCCAGAACTAGTTACTTGCTAAAAGCACAGACACGTGTTGCGCCGATATTCTGCCGCTGCGTGACACAGCTGCGAGGGGTTCGGATCTTCAGTGGAACCCCCAGCGTTCTCTAGCGGTTTCCGGTTTATGAACTCCAGAGAATAATCAGGTGAATAATTTCAGAAATTAATCAGTGCAGAACTTGGTGTTAAATCTCCGGGACATGACTTTTTAATATCAGAACCGAAATTTCAATGAACATTTGAGTCGAAGACAATCAACTACTGTGGAATAACCACGTAATGCCCATTCTACAAACAAGTAGTACTACAAGTAGTATGAATTCCATATGGTAAAGGTATTATACCGTACTCCCGACCTAGATAATTGTTAAAAGCCCATATATATATATATATATGCGTAATTAAACATATCAATAGTGTTTCGCACTAATTATCCCATTTATTTTCACCAAGTGATGATGAAGAAGAAAAAGAGGCTATTTCAAGGGCCGCACTGTCTTTGTGTTGACGTTTCCGAAGATTTCTTATTGCATAATTAAAATAATGGGGTGTCTGTTCCTGCCAGCCTAGATTCCTTCTGTCTCTCAGCCTGTCTTGGGTTATAGGCATGCCAGACGCACAAACGCTGCTCTGTCTTCTGGCTGATGATTATCGTTGGTCTCTTCGTGGTCAACCGCTGGCACACTCGTGTGACCTCTGCCCCCTGTCCGGCTGTTGTAGTCGCAGCAACGTCCATGTGTTCTTGGGCCCTCGCCTCACTCCTCACCTCCGGCCGACGCTCTCCTCCTGCTGTGAAGGTGGCAACTGTTGTAGGAGTCGCAACTTTTTTCGCCTGTGCTGTCGGCCCTATTTCGATGGGCTAGAGTCGTCTACGTAGCACCTGGTACGCTGAATGAAGATCCCTGGTTCTGTTGATTTTGCCAACCGAGGACCAACTTTCGAACACCAGTCTGATCATTTTGCTATTGGTTCGGACGATGGCGCTTGCTTTCCCGAAGACGAAACTGTGCTTCTCCTGCTGTATGTGCCCATATACTGGTGACAGTCTATCCTCGCGGTTAAATGCAAGTTGGTGTTCATGCAGTCGTATGCAGAGGCATTCACTGCTCCACCATCATACTTCGAGCTGTAGGTTTGGAATGGTATGGTGTAGACCACTTATAATTGTCCCGTTCTCGAAAGTGGATCTTTGGAACTAATAAGCTTGATATCAATGCTCGCTTACGATCGTCAGCTGTCATTACTCTGAAATAAGCACTGACAGTTATGGCATAAGTGTGCCAGGAATTATTATCTGAACATACCATGCGCGGCTGTGCGGCTGTTGGTAGGACTCGAGACAGGGCCCGTAAGACACAAGGGAAAGTGTGAGTTCCGTAAGAACGATCGGTGAGCGTCCCTCTATCACTAATTGGCATTTGTTGAACGCTAATTAATCTTCCTGCATATTGTTTCCGCTTTATCTGCACGTACTTTCAACATAATTGAAAAACAGTCACGAGCTTGACATATACCTAACCGTAAGCATATCGGTACGATGCCCTTGTTTTACAACATATGAGTGTTTGTGATTTTGTAGGAATTGTACCATCTTTGGAGTAGTTGCGCACTCACATTAAGCGCATCTCCAATCCACAACGTCGTCGTCGTCGTCGCTGTTTGAATCTCAGTCCGAAAACTAATTTGCCCGTATACTTGGCGCTTTCTGGGTCACCAAGTTGGACTTGGCTGGAGGAAGATATTCTCCTTTCACTCTTAGATGTCCATGTGTGAATGAACCCAAATCTAGGGTTTCACCACTTATGACTGCATGATCACAGAACTAAATCTGCGCAGGGGAGAGGAGGTTGGCTTGTTGGCTGTAGAAGATCGGCAATTTATTTGCCTACGAGACCTGCGTCATCGAATTTTAGGCATGTGTCCCTGAAGCCTAGGACAATGTTGAGGATGTTGGCATCCTTTTTCAGGTCAGACATTTGCTGATTAATCAGACATTCATGGGAGTTCACGTAAACAAAAACGACCTGTTCATAGTGCATTAGGCAGAACGATGCATCCAATTAGTTACGACAGAGGACCACCGAAGTACAAAAATCCCATAGAGTTTATAGAAAGCTGAACCAGTATTATGGGGATCAATCAATAAGTATAGACGCTTAAGATGGTATCGCCCGGCCATCTGTAAGCTTAACCCCAAAATTTCGTCTGATGCAATGCGGTAACAGTTACGTTCAATTCTGATACACAGGATGCGTAGGTACGCTCTAAAATCCGACTGAATATAGACTAGGTCAACAAGGAAAAAAGTAGAAAACTCGAAGAGTAAGCGAAAATACAATATTTATTCAATTAGATAACGAAGAACAATATAAAAGAATAAAGTGGGAGAAGAATGCAAGCGAAAATAATTAAGTGGAAAATAAATCAGGAAAGAGAGACTATAGATGTCGAAGCAGGAAAAGAAGACGTAGGTTGATCGTCAAGGTACGCTTTCCGCAAAGTAGAAAATTGCAGGGAAACCATCATGAGGATTGCTGCTTGCCTTCCAAAATGCTCTGCCTGCACACTAATCTCACAGGTCCTAATGTGAACACACCACTATCATATCTATACCCCGCTCATCTGTCTCTCTCTCTCGCTGTCTGTCTGCAGACAATTACAGTCTGAGTAAAGGTAAACTGCCCGAGGCAGAGCCTATGTCTGCTTCCACCTAAAGAAACGGAAAGCTAACATTCCGTCCTCCGACAGGTACATTAAATGCCTGCTTCATGATCTATGCCCTGCGATTGACGCATCTGCATAATAAGGAATGCCGTACTAAGCGGCGGGCTGTGCTTCCTGCCTGTCCGGAATTTTGCCTTTCTTCGTTTAGTTTTTTCCTTAGTGCCTTTTGTGCTGTAGACA